AATTACAAATTCATTTTTTATTAATAAATTTCATTACTACAGTTATTCTAACATAAACACTAAGGTAATTAAAATAATTAACTTACTTTTTATTACTATTTCATAATTACAGTATATAAATTAATTAATTAAAACTAATTATAAATAGTTAATTTGAATTGGTTTCTTTCATATAATTTCATTGCATCTATTTATTAAATTAATTAAAACATAATTATAAATTAATTACAATTACTTAATTTGCTCACAGAAAAAGATTCAGGGCTACTGCATCTAACGTTTTCAATAGTTAATTTCAATATTGCCTCTCTAACGTATTGATTAATTTGTAATCTAACGTTTTCAATAGTTCTAAAATCTAATTATAATTATCTAATAATTAAAACAGTAATTAATGTTGGGAAATTCGTTCCTTCAAACTCCAATATCAAGCGGGTCCAGGGAAAGCCCGTGGCGGAGAACCACCACCAATGAGTTAAGGCTACACCAACCGTAGCAAGTGGATCCGACACCATGTCTCAACCCAAAACCTTAAAGCATTGGGTTCATGAGTCTTTTCACTTATACACTTCACTTAGCTCATTACCAACCAATGTGGGACTTATCACACTTGAATATCTCAACAATCTCCCCCTCAAGTGTGAAACCCACCATTGGTATGCTCCCCCTCAACCGAGTACCCGAAGCGCAAAGTGCTCGACCCGCCTCCTAGCCAATCACTAGGCTAGCTCGAGCCCAATCCGGCTCTGATACTAGAGTTGGGAAATTCGTTCACTCAAACTCCAATGTCAAGCGGGTCCAGGGGAAGCCCGTGGCGGGGAACCACCACCAATGAGCTAAGGCTACACCAACCGTAGCAAGTGGATCCGACACCATGTCTCAACCTAAAACCTTAAGGCATTGGGTTCATGGGTCCTTTCACTTATATACCCTTCGTTTAGCTCATTACCAACCAATGTAGGACTTATCACACTCGAATATCGCAACAATTAATACGTATTTCAAACAGTAATTATCCTACGATTTATCATGATAAAATCTAAAAAAAAAAATACTACAACCCATACTACATACCTGTTATTGACCGCAAATGGAGAGAGGAATGACAAAATTTTCACCTGCGTTGGAGAAAGCATACAACAAATAACAGAGGGGAGGGGAAGACAAAATAGGATATGAAATATTTAAGCCACCGTGAGACGGTGGGTGATAGGATAGGAGGTTCTGGAAACAGAGGGAGAGGGGATACGAAATGGGAAATAGGGAGACAAATGATCAAAATGAAGGACAAACGAAGATGGAGAGGAAGAAGGCAGAAACGAAGAGGGAGAGGGAAATGAGTGTAAAGGAAGTGAGATGGAGGGAGTTGCAGGCGTGGGTGGTCAGACACTGAACCCGTCACTAACCTTGACGCGTCACTAACCCGCCATGCAAGGTGACAGTACGTTCCCGTCACTTTGACCTACAACTTTGACTATTCTATCCTGAAAATTCATTTTGAAACAGTGGGAGAAACATTTCTTATTTGTTATTACTATGGTGGTTTTGCCAGCTATGTCGTATATTATAGTATTACACAATAATTTGCCTACCTTCAAAAGTATCTCCTTCATAGATACATGAAAGAGGGCATCTTGATCCAACAAAAACATTATCAATCTCTGATTGAACATCTTTGTCATTCAGACAGAACAAAAGGTATCTAGTAACTTATTATTTTATGAGAGCCATCAAATGAATATATAAAAAGTGCATTAAAGAATATTACAAAGGGACCATAACATCCCAATGTTCCCCTTCTTTTGCCTTTGTCTAAACCTTTGAATTTACATAGTTCAATCTACTAATTGAGAAAACCTTGTTAACTATTGCGTTTATTGGATCAGTAGAGTGTGACATTGTGGAGACATTTTTACATGTAAGTTGCATCAAGCAGATTTTGTCAAACTAAGTGCATTTTTTAACTATTGCAAAAACTCAATATACATAATGTCTAACACAGATTTGATCAATTAATAGTACTGGAGTAAATATATGATTTGATCTCTAAAGGATATTGCTTGTGTTATTTTGGTTTTAGAAAAAATTTACTAATATAAATTAGTTCTCGAAGCGATGAACTTGTAGGCAAATTGATAATTTTGGAGAATAATTTATATGAATAAAAAATTTGAAAACTAAAAAAATAAAATCAATACTTTCAAATTAAATACCAATTTGTATAGTTACTCATATTATATTGTTCCCTTATTTATGATTCTCTGTTTAGAATGTTATAATACTCAATTTCTCTTATAATTACTATGCATTGCTACATCTACTGTATATATGAAATTTAGCAAACGTTAAATTTTAATTGTTAGGGGGATTGTTAGGGTGTTATTCTCAATAATGGGCTAAGCAATGGACTGACACTCTATGTCAATTTTAAAATTTAAAACAATGAAGTTATATATATATTTTTACTTATATAATCATTGCTTAATTCATTTTTAACTAATTTGAGACTCTCTACCCACATTTAAATTTCATTTCCAACCAAAAATTTGGGAAGAAAAAGATGGAAATTAATAGCAATGCTGAAACATGCAACTGATGACACAAGGTAAGAGTAGTCTTATTTATGAGCAGACAAAAACACTCATTATCTGCAAAAGACTAATGACCGACAAGTTGGTCTGTTATTGTTCTTGTTGAGATATATAGTCTCACATTGGTTGAATGAGCAACTAATGTGGAATTTATAAAGTCTTGGGCACTCCCACCCTTTGAGCTAGCTTTTGGGGTGGTGTATCCCAAGGTTCTTTACAGCCCTCTTAGCTGCAATTCATTTAATAATTTGTCTATCATCCAAAGCTCTCAACCCATTTAGAAGTTCATACTATGAGATTATAATTCTTATAATCTAATAATATTTGAATATATTTTTGTAAATCACTTTAAAATATTAAATAAATTTAAAATCAAATTTTAACCCTATGTTATGAGTACTTTAGAATAATCACAACCCTTGTGGGCCCTTTCCCTCATATAACTGGATCATTGAAATTGAAAGCAGTACTTCAGAAGCTCAATCGCATGATGGATTGGTCTATGGCCCAACCCCTGGTAAAATAAAACTGAGAATAATGAAATTATAGAAACAAGTAACATGGTAAACTTTTTTCCCCTTCTTCTTTTATATATAATATCTTGAGATCTATAACAGGTCTACTTCATATATAATGTGCTAAATTTATTTATTTTTTGAATTAATTTATGGGTATCTCTAATTTTATTAACTTTTTATATAGGTCATTATAAATTAAAATTTATAATTGAGTCCTTATATTTTTAATTTTTTAAAACAAGTTTTTATTTACTCATAGTTATTAAAATTCTGTTAATATTTATTAAGTTATAACTGTATGTGTAATACGTAGTGTAACTTGACCAATCCTTACGTCAGGTCACATTACAAATTATTTTGTCATATATATATATATATATATATATATATATATATATATATGTATTACGAGTAGTACATAGTGTATTTCAGAAATTAACTATGTACTAGGATAGTAGATAATTTTTCTCTTTTTTCAAAAATTATGTACTACCCATAGTACATAGTATAATTTGACCAATCCTTAGGTTAAGTCACATGACATCCGCTTAACCCATATATATATATATATATATATATATATATATATATATATATATTAGTTTTATATCCTATAATATAAATATAATTTGTCTGAATTTTCAAATAAGTTATTAGAGTTACTAAATATAATTACAAAAAGTAATAGTCAAATTACAAAAAAAAAAAAAAGTAATAGCCATTCACAATTATTTTCTTTAACTTTGTATATCTAATATATAATTTTATTTACAATTGTTTACTATTCAATCAAAACAAAAAAAAAACACTCATTAATAAATAATAACTATTCGCAAATTTCTTCATAAAAAGATTTTTAAAATGGGACTTATGGATTCATCCTTCAGTGTATTTAGAATTTCCTTCAATTCAACAGTTCATTTTGTAATAACAAAGTACCATACAACTAGATTTTATTCTGTTCTACTTCCATTGTTAAGTAGTGTTCCACCGAATTACGCTGCTGAAGTCCCAACCATAGGACTATAAGTCTACGTTCAGCAACAGTTCAATTGCTATGAGCAGTGAGCCTCAGGAAACTGGGGCATGTTAAGCAGCACAGGTTGTCCTTCGTTATAAGTGGATCTCTGATCTTTCTCAAGCACATAGGGAATGATGACATTATATGTTCATTCAGAGCTGTTGTTTGAAACAATGACTGCACAAAGCATGTGACATGAATATCTAGCTCCTCCATGGACATGCAGCCAACTAGATGCAAATTTAATTTGCAAATACTGTACTATTTTTAAATTGAATCTTGTAACATGAAGTTTCATCGAATGCTATTTACCCTAGAGATTGTGTTTCATGTTTCAAGTTTCAAGTTTCAACTCATAGAGTTTCCTTTTTTTAATGGAGTTTAATACAGTACTTGTATAAATGAAAAGGAACATTTGATAGTACTCATCTTTTGATTGACAAAATTTACAATCAAGCTAATTCTATAAATATGTTACTTAGCCTACAAAAGAAAGGGAGATAAGTTAACCTGTTACATATTTACATTCCAGCAACACTATCAAAGATATTGAGACATAGATAAAAAGAAGAGAAGAAAATGGGGGAAAAAAATAACAATTGCCAATCCAGATAGGTTTAACTTCAGAGATATATCTTTTTTCATTTTTCTTAGACTTTTTTCGGTTGGGGGGTTGGGACTAAGAAGGGTATTACCTAATTATTCTATGTAGACATGCACTTGGGCGGAGAGACATGAAGACTATTGTAATCCTTCCAAGTTAAGCAGGCATGATTTTCACATTGGAATCTTCAAATGCTGAACAAATCATTTGATCCCCAAATTGGGCATTCTGGAAAATATTATTGCAACAGCATGGATGTCGAGGTTCTAGAAAAGGCGTCCCCGGCAGTTCAAAGATCCACAAAGGCAAGGAAATCCTTCTCCAGGCTCAAGCTCATATTGATAATTATATGTCAGTTCTTCACCCAAAGCAATCTGTTAACAAGAAACAAAGTGAAATCTAATCCGTGTAGTACAACAAGCAAGCTAGCCAAAACAACAGTGTCCATTATTTGCAAGCATGCAGGAATTAGTAAACTTGAATGATTGAAATCTGAATATTATTTTTGAATGAATAAAAAACTATATACTACATTACAATATTATTTTTGTTCAACTCCGGTTATTTCTATTGTGTTGACTCTCCCACTAGCCATCCTAGTGTTTATTCCTTCGTGTATACACACCTTCCAAGACTTACTCTAATGTTGATGCTTGTGCCTAACAATAGAGGAGAATACTTACATCTCGACTCGCATAAAGACCAATATGTGCATGCTCACAGTCCATGCTCTCTACAAGAACTTGGTAATTGACAAGATTGGGCGAGCAGCTGCAATAACAATAAATTGTAAGAGCAAACCATCAGGGATTCAAGAAGTAAAAATTAGAATGAAATAAAAAGCTGTCAGTGATAAAATCTTATGTTTCACAGAATATATCAAAATCATCATTGCTTGAAAGAAATAATAGTAAAATCCTTATCATGTTGCCAAGCAAAAAACGAACAAATTGCACCATATTATTTTTGTCTTAACAAACAACACAAGTATTCCTACATTGAATCCACGTTCACCTGTTATTGATGAACCTAGAAACATTTCCATATCTAGTAGCATCAATGACATATCGAGCCTGTCCTTCAATCATTCTACTCATATCATTAACATGAGAATCTATGTCATAGAAATAACTGCAATGTTCTTTGCCATATCTAGTATTGACATAAACCAAGTTAGTAGAAGAAAAAGAATAAACATCAAGTAAATAAAATAAACTACTTCATGAAGAAAGGTAAACCTTCTTGTAAATAATAGTTATTTTCTTATTTATTAATTTATTTGTTGTATTCGACCAAGTCCATTAGGTCAAGTCTTAGGTCTTTTATTCTCTATAAATAGAGAACTCTTTGTACAGATTATTTACAATTCTATAATATATCAGAATACCCTTTTTTAAGTTGGTATCAGAGCTTTCGATTCTAAGGGTTCTGCTTCCGCAAATCACCGTATTTAAAAACCAAACCCTATTTGCCTCTCACCGGCACAAAGCTGCCGCCGGGAAAAAAATTTCCGGGGACCTTTTGGACCGTGAGGACCCCTGTTTCACTCCGTTTTTCTTAGATCTAACATTCTACGGAGGTTTCTTTTTCATCAGACGACCGGAACAGCTCAAAAAAAAAATGCAGTATTGTTCACGCGGTACTGTTCACCAGGTACTGTTCACGCGGTACTGTTCACTGGGTACTGTTCACGCGGTACTGTTAAAAAAAAAGAATTTTGTTTTTGTTTTTGTTTTTGTTTTTGTCTCCTCTACCCGGATCTGTGTTTTTCTCTCTGATCTGACGTCGTTTGGGTGTTCGTTGTGTGTTCTTTGGTTCTGTTTTTCACTCTTTTTTATCAATATGGCCAATTTAGAAGATGGTTCTCCATATGTGAATATTCAGCAAAGGGAGTTGGATCAGCTTAAACCCGCTATTGATAATATGTGTAAGCCATCTGACCGTTCTTTGATCTTGTTTGGTAAGAGCACGCGTTCTACATCTCTTCTTGCTTCTTGCACTGTTTTTAAAACCTCATGGATTTTGGATTCTGGTGCAACTGATCATATGGCTTGTCGTACTGAGTTTTTTCGTTCTTATCATCCTACTGTTGGTAGTCATACTATATCCGTAGCTGATGGATCCCATAAATCAGTTATTGGTTCTGGTAACATTCAAATTCAACCTTCCTTGTTTCTTAAAAATGTTCTTTATGTTCCTCAGCTTTCTACTAATCTTATCTCCACTCAAAAACTTACAACTGATTTGAATTGTTCTATCACATTTTTTCCTTCTCATTGTGTTATTCAGGATCTTACCACGAAGAAGACAATTGGAGTTGCTAATGAGCAGGATGGGTTGTATCATCTCCTTCCAAAACATGCTATAAATGATAGCAAAAATCAGTTATTAATGACACGTCATCCTTCTATTGCAGAGTCTATGATTTGGCTCCATCACAAGCGTCTGGGGCATCCACCATTCAGTCTATTGAAGTCTGTGTTTCCTTCTCTGTTTCTTAATCAGTCGGTTGAGACCTTTCATTGTGATGTTTGTGAATTTGCAAAACACTATCGAGTGTCATTTCCTGCTAGCACTATTAAAAGCAGCAGACCTTTTTCTCTTATCCATTCTGATGTTTGGGGCCCTTCTAAAGTGCATAGTGTTTCAGGTGCAAGGTGATTTATTTCTTTTATTGACGATTGTACTCGGGTAACATGGATATTCTTAATGAAAGACAAGTCTGAAGTACCAGAGATATTTATTCGGTTTCATCACATGGTTGAGACTCAGTTTGGTAAGTGTATTAAAAGACTAAGATCCGATAATGGTACTGAGTACGTCAACCAACGCCTGTCACAATTCATTTCAGACAAAGGTATGATTCATGAGCTCACATGTGTTGATGCCCCTCAACAAAACGGGGTTGCTGAAAGAAAAAATCGTCACCTCCTTGAAGTTGCTAGAGCACTACTTTTCCAGACATCTGTTCCTAGTTCTTATTGGGGAGAAGCCGTGTTAGCTGCAACCTTTTTGATCAACCGTTTACCTTCACGGGTCCTTAACAATACCAGTCTTATTCATTCCATGACTTCCTTCTTTCCTTTTGTTCCCATATTGCAGAGCCTTCCACCAAGAGTGTTTGGATGTGTTGCCTTTGTCCATGTTAATAAAAAACATCGGAGTAAGTTGGATCCTAGAGCTCTTAAGTGTGTCTTCCTTGGTTATACCCCTTATAAAAAAGGATACAAGTGTTATCATCCACCAAGTCGAAATTTTTTTGTTTCTATGGATGTCACCTTTCAAGAATCTGAATCTTATTTCCCGGGTCTTCATCTTCAAGGAGAGAACAGTTCTTCAGAAGACTTATTCCCTTCCTTCTTTGAGTCTGGATCAGTCTTGTCTACTCATACACCTCTTCCTAGTGTGTCTACTCCTGGTGTATCAGAACCTTCAAATACATGAGTCTTGTCTACTCCTACACCTCTTCCTAGTGTGTCTGCTCCTGGTGTGCCAGAACCTTCAAATACACCTGAGATACGAAAGATTTTGACACCTGAATTGGTATATCAGAAAAGGAAACAACCCATACTGTCTCACCAGCAACCTCAATCGTCTGAACCACTGGTAAGTCCTGAATCTCATGTTTCTTCTGAATCTCCTGTTTCTGATTCTAATATTATTGCCTCTCATGATTTGTCTATTTCTTTTGATATCTCTAATGACTTACCCATTGCTTCTGCTTCTGATGACTTACCTATTGCCCTAAGAAAAGGGAAAAGATCTTGTACCAAGAAATCTTGTTCCTCCTGTCCCTCTTGTACTCAATATCCTATCTCCCATTTTGTTTCTTCTACTAATCTTTCTGTGCAGCACAAAAGCTTTGTTTCAGCACTAGATTCTATTTCAATCCCAAAATCAGTACATGAAGCATTGAAAGATGGGAATTGGGCTCAAGCCATGCAAGAGGAGATGAATGCGTTGGAGAAAAATAAAACATGGGAGGTTATTGATAGACCCAATGGAAAGAAAGCAGTACGGTGCAGATGGGTGTATGCCCTGAAGTATAATTCTGATGGCACTCTTGAGAGATATAAAGCTCGATTAGTCTCCAAAGGTTACACTCAGACCTATGGCATTGATTATGAAGAAACCTTTGCTCCAGTTTCAAAGATGAATACGGTGAGAGTCTTGTTATCCCTTGCTGCTCATTACAATTGAGATATAAATCAATTTGATGTGAAGAATGCTTTCCTTAATGGTGAGTTAGAAGAAGAAGTCTACATGGAATCCCTCCTGGTTTTGATTCTGTGAATGGAAAAAATAAAGTTTGTAGATTAAAAAAGGCCTTGTATGGATTGAAGCAGTCACCTCGTGCCTGGTTTGGAAGATTTACTAAGGTTATTGTTGAGAAATATAAAACCATTAATGTAACCCAAAAGCTTAAGTTATTGGGTGAGGATACATTAATGATTTTATATATCTCAACAGTTATGATGACCTTAGGATACAAACAAAGTCAAGGAGATCACATTCTTTTCTTTAAGCACTCCCAAGATGGGAAGCTCACTGTGCTCCTTGTATATGTTGATGATATTATTATCACAGGTGATGATTTAGTGGAGAGACATATTCTGCAAACAAGACTAGCATCTGAGTTTGAAATTAAAGACTTTGGAAAACTGAGATATTTCCTAGGGATAGAAGTAGCTCATTCAAAAAAAGGAATTTTTATCAGCCAGAGGAAATATGGTCTTGATCTTCTCAAAGAAGCAGGAAAGCTCGGGTGTAAACCCTCTAATACTCCTATTGAGCAGAATCACAAGATAGGCTATGAAGAGGAGAGTCCTCCAGTTGATAAAGGACAATATCAACGGCTAGTTGGAAAATTGATATATCTGGCTCATACTAGACCAGACTTAGCTTATGCTGTTAGTGTTGTCAGTCAATTTATGCATGATCCAAAGGAGAAACACATGCAGGCAGTGGAGAAAATTCTTCAGTATCTTAAAGTTACTCCTAGTAAAGGACTGTTATTCCGACGTGATGGAGATCTTTCTTTAAAAGTCTACATTGATGCTGATTATGCTGGATCTGTGACTGACCGTCGTTCTGCCACTGGTTATTGTATGTTTCTTTGTGGTAACTTGGTGACGTGGAGAAGTAAGAAACAAGATGTGGTTGCCAGATCAAGTGCAGAGGCTGAATTTCGAGCTATGGCTCAAGGTATCTGTGAGTTACTGTGGCTAAAAATTGTACTTGATGATCTCAAAATAAAATGTGAGAGACCTATGAAGTTGCTATGTGATAATAAGTCCGCTATTTGTATAGCTCATAATCCAGTTCAACATGATCAGACTAAACATCTCGAGGTCGACCGCCATTTCATTAAAGAGAAACTTGATAGCGGGTTGATTACCACTTCATACATTCCCACTGGACATCAATTAGCTGATGTATTGACAAAGGGACTTCCTTCAGACAGATTTCAAGAGCTTACTAGCAAGCTGGGAATGATAAATATCTATTCCTCAGCTTGAGGGAGAGTATTGTAAATAATAGTTATTTTCTTATTTATTAATTTATTTGTTGTATTGGACCAAGCCCATTAGGTCAAGTATTAGGTCTTTTATTTTCTATAAATAGAGAACCCTTTGTACAGATTATTTACAATTCTATAATATATCATAATACCCTTTTTCAAGTAACCTTTTGCGCCTGTTATGTGCCTCCTGCTCATCTAAAACCTCACCAATGTACTCGCACACAAATGTGCCTCGAACGATAGCCTCTCCAGCCCTTACCGCCCATCCCTGTGAATCAAAATAACAGAAGTCAATGTGAAAAGCATTAAAGAGTCAATTTGAATTTATCAAACGAATAGTAGCCACCTTTTCCTCTGTTTTAAAGACTTCCAGTTTAACCCGTACTCCATTCTGCAATGTTCTGTTTGGACAGGTTTTGTTGCAACTGCACATATGATTACACTCATAGACAAGGTAACCTTCCTGTAGTTTTGTAGAGCAATTATCAGCATGGGACAAAAATATTTATAAATTAGTAATGCAGAAATAGAGAAGAGAAATGTCTGCAATATATCCTATATAATTAACTCGAAAAATTTCAAGAGAAGATCCTAAATGTTGATATTGACAAGAGAGTTAAGTACACACGAACACAGAAATATTTCACAATGGGAAAAAAAAAAGACATAACACCTAGAAATATAGAAATCCAGTAAAAAGTAAGCAGGAAGAGATAATGTATTCAGGAATGCCAAGCAATGCCTAACATATTTAGAACAGCTCAGATTTTGGATATAATGGCAGCACACAATTAATGCAAATATTTTACCTCCAATATTATTCGGCCATTCTCATCATATGGGAACCTACCACGGATTGGTTTCCCAAAAATGTCTTTTGCATCATCATAGTCATTATCAAAAAGGTAGACATGATCACATGTTTCAGGATAGCAGGTAGGAGATGAGCAAGCACATCCCAGTTGCAAACTCTGTGAATCAAAAAATAGGTCAAAGATTATTGAAAACAAATTAAAAGATAGTCTGCTCTACAAAAATTCTTTCTAGATCCGATTTCACAAAGAAAAATGTATCACACAAAAGCGAACACATGTGAGTGCTTATGCATATAACTTTCTAGATGCTTTCACAGGTAATATATTCAACAGATACTTAATAGAACTTGACCCATTTTACCTACAAGCTATAGTATGACAAATAAGTGAAATGACATACATTTAGCATACAAGAAGTTTACGCCTATCAGATTAGGATTTGATTAAAGTAAAATCCAAGTCAAAGTTAACTACCTCATAATCAAGACCAAGTGATTGATCAAGCATTGGCTTCGTAACATAGGTAAATCTCTCCCACGGCCTAGAGAGATTTATATCTTGCTCATTGGACCCATGCCTACGGAGAGAATTTAGAATTTCTTGATCTACTACACAAATCACTGGAATTGATTCCTTCCCAAAGCTTATGTCATCACATAAGACTACGGACCCTAAATTTAAATGGTGTGAACTGATGATGTAGTGAAACTCATCCACCTCCAACTCATCACTTGGAGGATCCAATAAATTTACAAATTTTGGCCTAAGGAAACCATTAGAAAGAGATGCTAGGGGAGAAAGCAGCATTTGGTCCTTTGGTACCTTACAACCTTTGGGACAAATGAACCCCTCCTGGTGCCATTTCACTGGAATGTTGTGCTCACTACAAAGTTTTGCTGCCTTCAAATAAAGCCTTTCAGGCAAAATTCCATATTTCTCCTCCAGTGAGGCTTTAAGACTAACTCTGCAGCAAGCAGATCGAGCAATTGATAAAATATCAAAATTGTTAGGCCGAGGTTTAGTCTTTTGAATCTCAGAAAACAGAATCTTTGCAACTGCTGAGCATTGATATTCTGCCAATTTACCAATATTTGTTATCTCAGTTGCATGAGGTTGTATGGTTGTTTCCCCTATGTCTAGTGACTTTGCTGCCTGAATGCATCTCTTTAAATTAGCATCAGCCTTACTTCTGATCCTATATGATGTTGTTGCCAAACCTTTTGTAAATCTAGGACGGCTAAGTCTGCTAGATTTTAATCTATAAGCATAAGAATGAACTCCCCTCTTTGCAGAGCGACTGCTAACTAGATTGCGTCCCATATGAGCAGCTTGATGATGGCGCCCTAGGTCAGGTAGTAAATCAAATTTCAACCCACAAAACCTGCAAATGAATTTCCGCAAACCAACTGGATTCTCAGAATTATTCTCCAAAGAAGTTGAATTTCCCTGATCAATTTTTTCCAGAGAATCCTCGCAAGTAGACAAAGTTTGCTGCTCAGGAGCTTCTGATGGCTTAAATTCATCAGGATGAACTGATAGAACATGCATCCATAATTGCTCCATATTTCCAAAATGACTACCACAAGGAATACATTGGAGAAGCATGCACTGTTCAACAAACTGCACATGGTGTCTCTCCTGAACATGGTTTTCCAATAGTTTCTTGTTAGTAAAAGAATCCAGACAAATGGCACAAGCATAACCCCTGAACAGCCATTGTGCTTCCTTTTTATGATTGTCCATCCAATGATTACCAAGTGTTTGGTCATCAGGAAATTCTGCACAGCAGATCTTGCACTTAATGGCATTTTCATTATCAATGCAGTCATTAGCAATGGGAGGAAAGAGAGTTTGTCCTTCCATGAGTGAGGATACATCCATGTCATCATTGAATCCCCAAATCAATTTGATTCTCTCCTTTTCACTATGTACCAACTTTGCAAGGAATTCTCCAACACTAATATCTTTTGAGGCTTCAGTCAAAGCCCACTGGAATTGAACTTCCTTAGGAACTGGGTTTCTTAGCGACAAAATGCTTTTGAATAGCCGGTAAAAAAGCTCGCATGCTTGATGCAGATGCACCTTTTGCTCCCATGTGCAACAGTCCCTCAAAAGTTCTGTGAACACTTCTTTTGATATTATTCTACTCTTCCCATTTTTCGGACGTTTAAGCCAGCTTGGAAGATGCTTTTCACAGTACAAGAAATACCGACTTGGAGCTTGCAGACAAGGGTCCTTGTTATCATAGAGAGGAGAGCCTATACAATGAAGTGCCTCCATTGCATTATGATCATTGCCAAAAAGGATGGGCTTCTCATCTAAGTTACTTCTTCCATGGAAGGAATCACCATCAATGGCTGACACTGGATTTACTTGCAATGGATTTTCAACATTTACCAATACCATGTCTTTGCAGATCATTCCCTCTGAACCAGTGTAATTTTCTTCATGTTTCCTCTTTAGTGGATTATGGCTTAAATTTGAGGTCTCATCTGTTTCAGCATGGGGCCGGTGTTTCTTACAGAATGAAGAGCCAGGAAGGGCATGATGCTTACATCTAGTACCAAGAACAGTTGTACCTTTACACATTGGAGTATCAATTGAAACAGGTCTTCTGGCTTTTCCTGAGCTTCCCAAGAAACGAGAGGACAAATGCACACAACAGTATACATCACCATCATTTGCCCATCTCACACACTGTCTTCCCTTGGCTTCAATATAAGCTATACATTGTCTATTCTTAGTATCAGGTTCTACAAATTTTTGACTAGACATTTCATTCATAGGTGTTGATTCCATTCCATTGCTACACAAGATCTCAGAATCTGCAGCCTCAACTACAATTTCATTCCATTTATTGGTCAAGTTACCAGGTAAATCAGTTGCTACAGGTACCTCCCTAACATCTTCCAGTTTAGAAGTCTCAGCTGCTAATGTACTCAATGTGTCCGGATTCTTAAAGAAACCTAGGTCAGTCTCAAGGGTAATAGAGTGATCCGAATCCTTGGTTTCAACCAGTGAAGCATGTGTATCTGCACGACGAACTTCAAGTTTGGGCCTTTTACTACCAACCTGAAGGCTTACTTGGTACAAACTATGAGCGGTTTGCTGCTGTGTGTCCTTGTTGCTAGAATAGGAAGGAAATGTGGAAAACCATTTCATTACATCATGCTTCCAGGTTTTCCACTCAGAATATAATGTTGGTTGCACCAGTGCATCCCGGAGAGTGCTGACATCATTCCACAAAATAGAATCAAATAATTCCTGAACAAGAGGAAAGGAATAAATCAACCAAACATATTGGACAAAATTTTGTGACTATTGTTTAAAACAAGGCATATATATTCATTTCTGCAGGTTTTAGAAATTTGACATATGATTTCAGTCTGAGCATCAGTAAAGAAACACCACATTACCCATTTCCTCTATTATTAAAATGCATTAAAAAAATACGAAAAAAGATGCATTTATAAAAAAAGAAATTGCATAAGCATAGTATTTAAGGAAATTGCTAAGGGAAGACTGTGTGAGATGGGCAAATGAGTGGCTGGTGGGAGAAATGGTTGAAGCCTCTGAAGATGAGTTTGTTTTTTATGATGATACCTTGACTTCGGGAGCTTTGCTAACGTAAATGGGGCTGGGAAGCCAGTCACGTACACTATCTGCTATCCCTTTACAGCAGTTTTGGAGTCTACAACTACGACCCGCTATCTGAGATTGATAACCATGTTATCCTATTTTTCTTATGTTTACCATCCTTTTCGAGTAACGAAATGGCAGTTGCCAGTGATGATCACGAAAACATGAACTCACACAGTCCTCCTTTTTCCTAGATATATGAATTGGCCACATAAATTATACAGTACCTCCTTCAGCAACTCTACTGATTCAGCACTATTTACATTCTGGCATCGTTCAGCCCAAGAGTAAGACGAATGTTTTATCCAGTCAGCATTTATGTAGTCCTGAACTATGCTCTGCAAAGAAAAATGTGTTATACTGCTTAAGTCACGAAAAAAAGAAAGTTATCAAGAAATATTAATTGAAAACATGATAATTGCATTTATCTAATGAAAATTGGAAATACTGGGATTTATGAAATTTTAAAACTACAGTATATCCAAAATGATACATAGCACAGATTATGCAAATCATGTACATTAGGTGTAAGCATTCAACTTCACTGAAGTGCTGAAAATTCAACTCAATCAAATATAATGCTTGATTAAGCGCCAAATACAAGTTGTCGTGAACCAACTTTCCCAAAAGCTTGTGATCTTAGATGAAATAACATAAATAGTTTTACATTATATCTCTGAAATGCCTCATTACACGAGCTTTTTGGACTCAAAACATGGACAACGCATAAGTCCACCTATCTTATGCTGAAATTCTACATTTTATTACACGAATAAGGGTGAAAAAGATCGAATTCCACACCACTTCATAAAAACTCTAATATGTGAGTTCTAACTAGTGAAGCAACTTCCAATGCATTGCAATCCTATCCTTTTAATGCTTGCAGTTCAAGATGAATGTTTTCAATAGAAGGTTCCAAAACTACAATGTTATTAAGTAGCTTTTCAATTTTAAACCACTCCCTATTAAACTCCAACTAGCGAGGGTAGGGGTGAGGGCAATCCATGTATGCAGCCTTACCCTTACATATTTGCAAAGAGACAGTTTCCCGAATTCGAACCCATGAACTGTGAGTCACAAATAAATAGCTTTATCACTACTCCAACTCGCCCTCTTAGCTTTTCAATTTTAGTTGAATTGAAAATATATAGTAAAGGAAAAACATATGGCAAATCAATCACTATGTTAGTAGAAGCTTCACAGAGAATATTGTTTTGGAGATTTCTAGGGTGTATGAACCAATAGAGAAGCATAGCTACAAGTTCAAACATTTTAAAATGCAACAAAGTTGAAGACCAAAAATATATAAGTTTTCTACTCCATAGACTATCATCAGGAATTGGAATTTACATTTTGTAGCTTTAGAAGCATTCTTCCAAAATCAGAATAACCATCACATCGAGAAGCCTCCATAGCAAATTCCTTCCAAACCATCACATCCCGGCTAGTTTCTATCAAAGCCTACATGTATTATAAAAACCTCCAGTAAAAAATAAAATAAAAGATGTAGAGATTACAAGAATAAAGAGTGGAGAAGAGGAAATTGCATCACCATCACATACATTAGAATGAAGCTGATCCACAATGTTAAGCATGCCAACGGCTAGCTTTTGCATTATGAAACGTCGTGCAACAGTCAAGTCTTTTACCATTTTCAATCCTGCCTGATAAGTTTTATATGCAATAGGCTGGGGAAACTCATCAATTGATCGAACAAGCAGCATATCAGCCCAAGAATAATTCCTTGTGTGAGGAAAAAATATGACAAAATATTTTTTCCGGTCATGAGTTGGTTTTGCTTTCAAAGTTGATAATGGCCAGTCTGCCCTTGCACATTTGATGCCGGCTTGCCACTTCCCTCTCCACTAAAAAGGACAAAGTAAAAAGAATACAAAATTAGAACACACTGCATTTTTATTTTCCATTTTTTAACAAAGTAAAACCCCTCTAAGTTGCTCAATGAAATATGTAATAGGAGGTGTCAGCAACAAAGAAAAGATTTTCTAAGAAATTCATCGACAATTCCTTGTAATCAAGCAATATTAGAGAAATGAAATCAGAGTTTTTTAAATAAAAAAATAGAACAACATTAAACAAGCAAGATCAGACTCACGAGCAATCAATACTCTTATTGTAGGGAGAATAACAAAAAATCATTAGAAAAGCTCTTAAGAGAAAGTAAAAAACTAAATTCTGATGTTGCATACATACCTTGCACCACAAAGCCACAGATTCATCCCCCTCCAGCCAAGTGGGTTCAGAAAATGACAACTCCCCTTCCCTACTGTTATTTGCTGATTCACTTTCAATATTATCCACAATTGAGAGAGAGTTCTCACAGGTTAAGAAAGGTTCATTTATTTCATCATCTTCAACATCATGGAAACTACAGGATTCCTTTTGGTCTTCCACTTGACGATCACAACATGAAGCTCCACTGCATTGGCAATCTGAATTAGTCAAGAGTTCACAACCAATCTGTTGCACTCGGTCTTGCCTTTCTATCTGAGGTCCTTCCATCTTAAGTAGTGAGTCATTCAGTCGATCATCTTCCAATTTAACTTGTTCACCATTTTCAAGGCAATTAGGTTCTCCCTGGCATACAAAAGCTGTTCCTGAACTCTGCTGAGGGCAATCAGATTCCCCAGCATACTGAACACCAGAACAAGGAAGTACTTCCATGATACTATTTTAAAATTGGCAGTATGAAATGATATGCTTGCTATGACTGATGATTCCCATCTTACCACTGTTCCATCAAAGACCATTTCCATAAAAAGTAAGATGTAGAGTTAGACATAGAAATTAATAAAAGAAGCTGAAAATGAAACACAAGTAAAATAATTGAAACTAAATGACATGAGTATACCAAATTTAAAAAGAAATAGAAAAAGATAGGGACAAAGAACTAATATTCAGAGGCAATATATAGTCAAACTTACAAAAACACCATATATTTCCCTCAACTAGACGAAAACAAAAACTGAAACTCATTGAGATTAATAAAAAATTGTAAGTAAAAAGAAAGTAGTAGCCATTGCCAACATATGAACTTAAGAAAATTCGTTTTAGGATTTCAGTGATTTCCCAAAAAGTGCATGGAGCATGGACCTGATGAATCCAGAAATAAGAATGGCCATATTCAAATTTCCTTCCTAAATTACTTGCTTTGTGAATTGGCAGCATTGGAGCAAGGAACCTTTTGCCAATATAACCATTTCAAATAAAGGTCAAGTGCCGCCAAGAAAGCAAGTACACATATATTTAAATAAAAATTGAACTGAATATTCAGTTCTCTTTGGGATAAAGATGGTGGTGGTGGTGGTGGTGGTGGTGTTTAATATTCATTTCTCTAATGTTATACTTATATTAGTAGTACCAAAATTCACCTTCAAAACTAAGGAGTTTTATCAAGGTCATTGTGGTCCCTGATTCTAGTAAGAAGTAGCAAAATTGTTTGGATTTGGATAGAAAAAAAAGCAACCAGATTTATGCGTTCCTGAATAACCATCAATAACAGAAATTAACCTCTGCAGGTGATATTAATAATTATGGATCTAATATAATTCTATACTAATCTTAGTGACGGGGACTAAAGTAAAAGGATGTATTTTGAACCATGACATGATATACACTCTGCCATGTATAAAAATGTTAATGGAAATAGTGATCTAGCAGAACGATCCATATTTTCTTGTTTGATACTCCAATGAGAGTAAACCATTTGGTGATAAATGGCAATAATAATTGAGGCATCATTTGAAAAAAATTTAATTCTTATTTTTATAATTTCCGAAAAGAAAATAATCCACGTCTAACTTCATAATGGATTATTATTACCATGGAAAGTTTAATCAATAGATGCATTCCCAAATATACAACATGTTTACAGAGAGAGAGAAAAAAATTTAACGATTACAATGGAGGTCTAAGACCCCCTGCGATTCAACCCCAAGATGAAATAGTTCCCAAAGAGACTTAGTACCACTGGAATTATGGCTCTTGGGCAAGGCTTAAGAAAATTATTAACATTTAAAGTCTAAAATGCAATATCTCTCAACTTTTTCTGTAAAATTTCTGAGTCAACGAGAATCAGTAAAAATGTTGATTTTGAGTTAATTAACAATACACAAGTGCATTAATATCCAATCTGACAATTGTGACACTGTTGGTAATTTCATCCCCCACCCCAAAACCCTTAGTTCCCCCAGAAGATATGTTAATCCGCAACAGCAATAAGTTCTTCAAAAGCAGCATGAAAAAGCTTCAACCTTTAAGCTTTTACAAATACAAAACAGCACAGAACCGTACGGATTCAAATCAAAATCATAGCGTCTATTATTGTGACCCAGAAACCCCAAATGACATAATACCCAATTAAAATTCGAATTAAATCCCCACATTATTGTGCTCAACCACTAACAGGTCATAAACCCTAACCAAATCCACGATATGTAAGATTGAATAAGGATCAAAATTCAGGAACATGCACTGCATGTCTGAAATTTTATTTTTATTTTTTAAAAAAAGGAACTGCAGAATCATATAACTATAAATTCGGGCATCAATTATATATCCTCGACACATGAAAATTCCTAATAAAGGATAAGTTCTTCCTCCTGCCATTATTAGCACATCTTTTTTTCGGTTACCTACTAAAAAAAAAAAAAAGTTTATAATATGCATAAAGTACACAACATATCTTAGGGTGAGATAGGTCATACACCATAGAATTTGAACCATAATTGACTGCAAGAAAATGTGACATAGAATAGAATAGACATTGGCTAAGCCAAATTTCAGAGAATATAAAAGGGGGCAGTGATAAATAATGTACCTTAAAAAAAATGAGGTGGGAAAGTTTATGCAGAGAGATCAATCAGGGGGTCTATAGGGTTGTGATGGTGGGTGGAATTCTTTTTCTTTTTAATTTAATGTGAAAAAATGTTGTGTCTCCCTTCTCTATATAGCTATGAAATTGAAGCGCTGCCTCACTCAGTGTGGCTTATGGCTAGTGATGAAATGATATATAGAAAGTGCGTTCTGTGTTTTGGGCATTTAAAGGAAAAGAAAAGGAAGGTGTTCAGGTCAGGTCCCGTGCCCAAATTGAAGCACAAAACAAATGTTCTTCTTTTTTATTATTATTTATTTTTTCTATCCTAGAGGGTTTTGTTTAAGTAAAAGGGATGATTTGGATTAGATATGAAATTGCAAACTGTAAGGTAAGAGAAAGGGGGAAGGGATAGATAGATATATTGTAAGAAAATAAAAAAGAGGTATTCAAAAAAATAAAAAATAAAAAAGAAAAAGAAAAAGGAGAGACTTGTGGTGGGGTGGGGTATTAACGTGTGTATGCGTATGCAAGGGCATTTGTGAAAATAACCTATTAAAGAAATTGGGGGTAGGTGAGGTATCACCATTAAACACTGCACTTCTATAGCCTTATTTTAGTAACGTCACGTTTGTTCTATTAAAATAAAAAAAAAAATTAGCATTATTTTGTTTTGAAAAGTTTATGTAATTTTTTTTTGGGCTTGGTGTTTGTCATTTTAAATGAAATAAGTTATGTTATTTTAGGTAAGAGATAGACACAGAAAATAAAAATCATAGGAGAGAGAAAGTGAGTGATTTTTTTAATTTAAAATTTAAATAAAAAAATTTATTCTGTGTCTATCTCTCTCTTAAAATAACATAACTTTATATCATTTAAAATGACAGACACTTTTTTTTTTTTTTTATACATCGATCTTATTATTTTTTTTAAGGCAAATCGTTTCTAGGTATTTCAAAAATTTTAATTTTTTAAGGTGATTATAATATTAATCCCAAATTGAAATTTAGTTACAATTAAAAGTCTTCATTCTTCCCAAAAATATATTTGATAAGAATTGAATATAAGTTATCTTTCTAAAGAATCATCTCAATCCAAAACTTTAAGTTTCACGTAAGAAAGTAAGGGCAGTGAGTATCGAACTCGTGACTTTGTGGTCACCAAAGGTCTAATACCATGTAAAAAACCATTTTAACCCAAAACCTTTAGTGTTAGGTGAAAACTTTCTTAATGATTTATATTATACTTTAACAATCTTGCGCGGCTTAGTCTTTATAATTCTTTTAACTAATGTTTTAAATTTTTATTTAATTTAAAAATACACCTACAATATACGGGATAATTATGAATATTTGTATAACTTCAAGAACAGCAATTAATAAAATTGACTAATTTGGAAGTTTATATATAACTGAAAATGATGAAGTAGGTTTGGAATTTTGGATGGATAAGGCTTAGTGATGAATCCATCCATCCAAATGCGGAGAAGAGCCTTCTTCGGTCGTAACGAAACGGTAGCCATAAATCCCGCGGATCTCAGTGACCTTGGCAAACAAAACGGTGTCGTAGCTGCTCCGTGTTATATTTTTTTTTTATTATTATTATCTTTGGTACATCCCGTGTTATATTATTTATGGTATATGGTAAGCTGTTTTTAGCTTTTATAGTGATTTATTTTTAGAATTCAATAAAAATGCTCTATTAATGTAAAATAATCTTTTACATGTTATAAAATATAACTATGTGGATGTCCATAATCTTCAAAGGAATGATGTATACCATGAGTTATAATATGTAATTAGAAGGATTTAACAGTATCATTTATTCTATTGTAACTCATTATATTAAAAGGTCTATCAATAGAGACCATGGATAGATCTAGTAGGAAAGTGATCTTTTTTTCTCCTTGTCCTAATTCTCTATTTTTCTTTTTATGTTTTATTTTACAACATTACATTATTTATTACCTTCATTCTAATTAGTGAGAAAATAATATGATAATAAAAAGTAAAGTCCATTTTGGGTCTCTAACAAAAAATACGATCTCCACTTTAGTTCCTTACAAAAAAAAATTAGTCACGAGGTTCCTAAGAAATTCAAAGTGGACCTATTTTGTTAAAATTGTGGTCCTCATAAATTCAAAAAAGACCCACATTAGTCTTTTAAACTGACTAAAATGGGTCTACTTTGAATTTAATAAGGACGAGCGACTAATTTTTGTGTGTAAGGAACTAAAGTGAAGATCGTATTTTTTTGTTAGTGACCCAAAATGAGCTTTACTCAATAATAAATAATTATGTAATTATGTATCAACTTTAAGGAATGACATATCTAGTAACTAGGTGTAAATGGGCTGGACTTTGACATAAATATGTCAGGCCTATATAAATATATTTTATACTTGACCTAATCTGTTAGTCTTATGTATGCCGGAATTATAAGTCTGGTCTGGCATATACATAAAAAATTAAAAATATCGGCTCAGACCTGTTAGCTTATTTAAATCTATTAGGCATTCAACAATTAAAATAATATTACTTTATTATTTAAAATCATTAAAATAATAATTTTATTTAAAATATATAATATGATATAGGCCGACAAACTTATAGGCCCGACATATAAAAGAAAATTTATGTCTATTTTCTAAATAGGCTTTTTTAAAATTTTGAGTACGTTATATTTTATTATATGTAATATGTTGAGTCTAATCTGATATCAGTTGGGTCGTAGGCTCTTGTTAGATCACCTGACTCATTTATATTCCTACTGATACGAGTTATACCAATGAACGAATTGTTGGGATGGAAGAGAGTTCATCTATCCTTCAGAGATGAGATCAAACCAGCCAAAAACTAGAAAGAACTTAGAAGCAATCACCTGATTATCAGGTTGCAAAACCACAAGTCATAAAAACAAAAAGTTAAGAAATTCATTATCAAATTGCATGTTCGTGAAACAAAATAAAATCCAAACTTGAGAAACTAGGAAGATTACATATAGATATCCCTTTGTGGAAATGTCATAGGTGTAATCTGAAAACTAAAAGTGATTATAATCATTTTGGTTATAATTAGAATTTGAGATATTTACCTTAACTTTATAATTTTTAATACATAAATACAATTCTTTTACATCATCCAAGTAAAACATCCTATCTTAAAATCACTTTTCAGTTAGATATATCTAAACATAAAATCAATCTTTTATGTAATTGATTATAAAGAAAATTTACCATACATTAATCAATTAATGAAAATAATTTCAACAGTCAATAAAAAAGTACACAAACACACCCAAAATTTGTTTTGCTTTTTTCTTCTTTAAATTGGTTTTATTTTTTGTTTGGTCATTATTTAACATTGGGAATAAGCGCACGCAACCCAGTTGTCAAGGAAACCCGTGGTCCAATATGAAGTTATTGGGCCAAATTAATATATGGTCCATGGTCCTTTCTGTATATCAGTCTATGGGCCTACGGCCTACTCAGCTCAAAATCCAAAGTTCTTTTAATAGGATTTGTTTCGAAAATTTTCTGTCAAAAGATTTCTTTAGGGAGTAAAAAATTGATGGGAGTTGCTTGCTTGTTGTTTTCATATCATAGTCAAGTCAATAGCACAATGCTCATACTATTATACAAGGAATTTGGAATGAAGCGATACCTCATAATTAAGGGTGTAAATGGGTCAGGCTGACATATAATCTGGCCTATAATAAGCCTGATCTGGACTAGTCTATTAAGAAATTAGAACAGGTTTAGGCTTATAGAGAAGTCTATTTAAAAATAAGGCCATAGGCCAACTATGAAAAGTTTGGCTAAAAAATCTGTAGGCCAGCCTATTTATTTTTAAAATAAAATAATATATTTATCATATATATTATTTATTTATCCTAATTTAGTTATGACATATTGCACTTTTGAGATTTGTTTGAATGAGAATCTGGATATGGATTTATTGGTTTCATATGTTGGTCTTAATAGTAGAAGGGATTTGATTTCCTTTAAATTCATGTTATTAAGTCTTGATTCTTGTTACTGGTTTCATATGTTTGATTCTTGTTATTGATTTCGTATGTGTTTATTGGTTTTATATTGTTTTAATAAATATGTCAAGGCTTACAAGGCCTAATAGGTTATGTTAGATTTTTTATTTTTTAACAATACGTCAGACATAACTTATAAAATGAGCCTTTAATAGGCTAATAGGCCATATAGACTCAATATTTATTTTTACATAGGTTTAGGCCATGAAGTCCAAAGTCTGGCTTAACCTGATCCATTTACAACCCTACTCATAATGAATTTAATTCGGTCAAACAAGTGCCTCCAAAGCCAAGGGACATTGACATCATTGCCTAGCCCCCCATGTCCATAAGAAAAGATCAAAGCTAAAAGCACAACCTACCAAAAAAAAAAGAGTAAATACCTTTTTTGGTCCCTAACAAAAAAACATAGTCCCCACTTTAGTCCCTTACAAAAAAAAATTAGTCGGTTGGTCCCTATGAAATTTAAAGTGGACCCATTTCAGTCCTTTTGAAGGACTAATGTGGGTTTTTTTTTTGAATTTGTGAGGGACCATAATTTCAACTAAATGAGTCCATTTTCAATTTGCTAGAGACCTCGAGACTAATTTTTTTTGTAAGGGACTAAAGTGGAGACTGTGTTTTTTGTTAGGGACCAAAAATGGTATTCACTCATAAAAAAAGCTAAAAGCACAAATGTAAAGAATTAAGATCAAAACTTTATTGTTACTGCTTTGACGAATCAAGATTCATTGCACCACAATCAATAATTGAATAAAATACTTTAGGTTTAAGGAAATAATATAGAAAATAAGTACAGTTATAATTATATAGAGTCTTAAGCTCTTGTTGCGCCAAAGTTGTAGCCTTGTAGGGTAGGACACCGACACGCGTCCGACACGTAGTCAACTTTTTTCGACACGTTGACTATCCCGACACGCGATTTTGACTGTGTCCGACACGGTCAAAGGGTACAAATGTAAAATTTTTGACATTTTTATAAAATTAAAATAATTTTAAAATAAAAACAAAAAAAATTTGGTCGAATGTTTTAAGCCCTAAATCATACCACTCAGAATCACTTCCTCACTTCCATCGTTCTCCGTCCCTTACCTAGCCGTCTGTCAGTGCCAGTTTCCAGGTGTGCTCTTCGTTCTCAACCAACCCCTCAAATTTATTGTTCTCAACTGTGTAATTATCGTCTGCACTCTTCTCTCCCTGGTACTGAGGCATGTAAACTATCTCCTGGACATAGTTGTTGTCTCTCTTGCAACTAGTTTCTGCAGTATTCTGTCTCATGCTCTTCCTTTTGTTCTTTCTTATGATATATGGACAATATTATGATTATCATACTTTTTCTTTTTTTTTGCTGAGAGATTATGAAACGTATCAATTTCATAGCGTTCTCAACCAATGCTAAAAGGGTACAGCTCGGTGGGCAGTTTCCAGCCGTCCGTCCCTACCTCCGTCAGTGCCAGTTTTCAGCCGTCCGTCCCTCACCTATACTTGTTGCTATACACATAGGTATGATTTTATTGTTTGAAAAATTTGATGCATACAACCTGTTTGTATTAATGGCCGAGAGTCCTACAAACATCATATTAGGTGTGTGAGTCTAATCCTTTTTGTTCTTTGCATTGTGTATGCCAGCTTACCATGGTTTGGTCATCTGTATACACCACAATTTCATAGAATTAAGCTAGATGATCTAAAAAAGCATTAACTCCAGGTCTTTTAAAAGTCTGTCACCCTATATCTCGCTTTACACATCATATAAAAACAAAAGTCAATATTATAGTCAGACATCTACAATATGTAAGGTGCACTAGCAAGTAGCAAGGTAATAAGAGGCCCGGCACTTCTATTTTGTGTGACACGCAGTGTATAAAGGAAATTGTTGCTAAAAAAACCATAGCACTACCAATCGCATTGTGTTCATTTAAAAGATCTTTCATATTTTTTTCTACCAACAAAAAATACAGTATTAACAATTCAAGCCTTACTATCCAAATATAGTGGATCAAATAAGGTTGTTTATCACACTTTCATATCTTTCATATTTGTTTCCATAATTTTCACTTTCAATGTCTCTGTTCTTCAACTCACAAAAGCAACTTGTTTATCACACTTTCATATGGCTTATTGTTTAGATGGAAGGCATGTAAAAATAATAGCCAAAACTTGTATAAAATAAGGTATAAAAGTTTTAAAATTCATAAATCAAATAAAGTCCATGTTTATTTTTAATTTTTTTTCACTTTACTACTTGATATTAATAATGATTTCTTTTAGTATTATATATGAATGAAAATGTTTATTCTTTGTGGATTTAGCTCAAGTACTCCTGCATATAGATTACAAAATAGTACAAATTAGCTGAAGTACTCTTGTAAAAAAATGATGAATAAATATCATAACTTTTTATTTGTTTAACACATTTATAGGATTACAATATGGATCGTTCAAGTTCTGCCTCTGCCAGTGGCAGTGATAGCGCCACTACTGCTAGTGTCTCTGCTGCCAATGAATTACTGGATAAACCCCTTTGGAAATATGTTACCTAATTGGATGCTAGAGTGGAAGCAGGAGGGAATTTGTCTTGGAAGTGCAACTTTTGTAAAAAAGATTATAAAATTTCGTATACTAAAGTGAGAGCTCATTTGTTAAAAATACCAGGCAAAGGAATTGGGAAATGCTTAATGGTGCAAAATAGAGACATGATAGAGATGGAGAAATTGGAATAGGAAGCTGAACAGAGAAAGCAATCTAATGCACCTAGAAATGTACCTTTACCCCCTTCTAGCTCTTTAACTGGCCCAAAAAAAAGAAAACTATGGGTTCTCTTGAACTGGCATTCAATGTTGGGGAACGAGAAGAATTAAATTATCTGATTGCTAGAATGTTTTATTCAGCAGGATTGCCATTGGCAAAGAGCCCTCACTTCCAAGCTTCATATACTTATGCAGCAAATCATAATATTGGAGGTTATTTGCCACCAGGAAATAACGTGTTGCGAACCACTTTGTTGCAAAAGGAGAAAAAAAATATCGATAGATTGTGTGAACCTATTCGAGAAGCGTGGACTCATAAGGGGGTAAGTATTGTAAGTGATGGGTGGAGCGATTCACAAAGGAGGCCACTCATTAATTTCATGGCAGTATCTTATGGTAAAGCAATATTTTTAAAATCAGTGGATTGCTCGGGAGAGATTAAGGATAAAAATTTCATTTTCAAGTTGTTTGTTTGGACTTTTGTAATATGTTTGAGTGTGTTTGTTTGTTTGCTCGAGAATGACTAATGATGAAAATTTCATTTTCAGGTTGCTGAAGGAAGTTATTCAAGAAGTAGGAGAGGCGAATGTGGTTCAAGTAATCACAGATAATGCTGCAAATTGTAAGGGAGCAGGGAAACTGATTGAGCAGGAATTCCCATCAATTACCTGGACACCGTGTGTTGTTCACACATTGAATTTGGCTGTGAAAATATTTGTGCTGCAAAGAATGTGAAGAACAATCTAATAGCATAAGAGGAATACAATTGGATTTCTGATATTATAGATGATGTTGCTGCAATAAAGCATTTCATTATGAATCATTCTATGAGATTGGCCATCTTTAATGAGTTTGTGAGTTTGAAGTTGCTTTCTATTGCTGATACTCGTTTTTCTTCAATGATTGTGATGCTGAAGAGGTTCAAGTTAACAAAGAGCGGTCTCCAAAATATGGTGATAAGTGAAAAATGGAATATTTATAGAGATGATAAACTTGGGAGGGCCAGACTTGTGAAGGAAAAATTATTGGATGATTGTTTTTGGAATTCAGTTGATTACATACTTTCTTTCACTGCACCTATTTATGATATGATCAGAGCTTGTGACACTGATAGAGCTTGCCTTCACTTGATATATGATATGTGGGATTCAATGATTGTGAAAGTGAAGAAAGCTATATACCATAAAGAGGGGAAGAGGATGAAAGATAGCTCCTCTTTTTATGATGTGGTGCATCGCATTCTTGTGGATCGTTGGACAAAAAATTCAACTCCACTACACTGTTTGGCACATGCTTTGAATCCCAAGTAAGTTTTTAAATATGATTCAGTTTAAAATTAATACTCCTCTTGATATAATTTGACAATTTGTTGATTTTTTTTTTTTGCTTCTCTTTTAGATACTATAGTCAACAATGGCTTCAAGAAGATTCTAGTCAAGTTCCTCCACACATGGATTTAAAGCTTACTCAAGAGCGACAAAAATGTTTAAGGAGATTCTTTCCTGGCATGGAGGACCGAAGCCAGATTAGTTTGGAGTATGCATATTTTATTAGCAACAGTGGAACCTTTGGCGATTTTGATGCCATCAATACTCAATACACTATGGATCCAAAATCTTGGAGGCTACTTTATGGTACTTTTACACTGATGCTTCAAAAAATAGCATTGAGACTTGTGCAACAACCCTCATCTTCATCATGTGCTGAACGCAATTGGAGTACTTATTCTTTTCTGCATTCCATCAAGAGGAATAAAATCACTCCAAAACGTGCTGAAGACTTGGTTTATATGCATAGCAATCTTCGACTCTTATCAAGAAAGACTCCTAGTTATGCACAAGGAGAAAATCAAATGCGAGATGTTGCTGGAGATACATTCAATTCACTTGATGATGTTGGAGATCTTCAATTGCTAGTCTTTCCCTTGATGAGCCAGAGATAGAGGCCATGATTATTCAAGATGGAGATGAAAATAATTAAACTTATGAGTGGTCTACACTCTACACTCTTGGGATGTTCTATTATTTTTGCTTAATGTTTATGTTATAGAATTTGAATATTTGATTAGCTATATGACTTATTATGAGTTGCTATATGTATTAAATGTAAACTATATTATATATATTAAGAATCTTATTTAATATCAAAATGTGTCCCAACTGTCAAAATTTAGCATTTTTTAGAATTAACGTGTCGTAGTGTCGTGTCGTGTCCCGTGTCGGTTGTTGCGAAATCGACAAGTATACCGTTCGTTTCAAGTAATAAAATGATAAGTAAGATATCGTTCCCTTGAGGATTAATGCACCAATGACTAATTTTAACTATTCCCTTTTTAATTGGAAAGAAAAATTGGTTTGTTTGTGAAAGTGATTGGTTGTTGTAATTTAAAAACAGAATTTTAAAAACAATAAAATTCAAAAGCATGCAAGAATATCAAGAATAATATGAGTTATGAAAAATTGTAAAAGAATTGTAGCCAGGATGCACTTCACCTCCGATCCTCCTTTATATTCCTAAATTTTATTTTATAACTAACTAATTTATTAGCTCAGACAATTCATTATTTCCTTATTAAATAGTTGAACCCTAATGTCTTAGTGATTTCAACCTTTTAACCCAATTAGAATCATGTGTCCTAGTAATTCCTCTTGATTTAAGCATTAAGCAAATGAATTAAAAGTCTGCAATCTATGTAAGCCTATGTCTAGGTCATGCACAAATTATTATTCTACCCTTCTGCAGATTAAAACCTCAATATATCTATTGCGAGCTCTAACCCTCAAAACTCTATAATAGAGTGATCAGTTCTATCAAAGATATGGAAAAATTAACACGAGAAGAATAAAGCTACATAAACTACATTAATTATAAAAACAATTTAAGACATATAAAAGATTCACATTGGGTCCGCGATCCCAACTACAAAAAGAAATTAGCCAGACATATTCATGTATGACTTAAACAAATTAAAATAATAAAGATTGTTCATAAAAGTAGTAAAGAAGAAGAAGAAGATGGAAGATCAATGGTCTTCAGTCTTCAACTCAGTCGAAATTCTGATCTCCAGCGCGAGTCTCCAAGAATTCTCTAAATTCTCTGTGCTCACGATTCTCTCTAGCCAAAGATGGTTTCCTCTGGGGGTCTGAGTCTTTATTTATAGACTTTGTGCCCTTGTCTAGAAATCTTGATCAAATCTTTATCGTATATCTTGGGTCTAATCTCCTCTGATACAGTCTGAGATTAGTTTAAAAATTATCACGTGCCTCCTGCGCTACTAGCGCCAAGTTGGCGCTGATAGCATGGGAGTGTTGTTCTGGATGCAGTAGCTTCGCGCTACTAGCGTGAGTCCCGCGCTGATAGCGCGATTGGCAAAAGTTGTTGGCGCTGAGAGTGCCAGTGCCACGCTAGTAGCGTGGTGGCTCTGGATTGATAAGTGATGATGGCGCTGATAGCGCCAGTAGCGCGGTGGCTGCAGACTTGTGCTTTCAATTGGGCTTCTTTCTTGACTGTTTTCCTACAAAAATATAAGAAAATCATGACAAGATATCTGATTGGGATTTATAAATTTAATAGCAATTATATCCCTTTTTATGCATGATTGATCAAGATTCTTTCTAAATTTGGCTTAAAATCATATCTATACTGGAAGCATATCATCGGTGTCGATGCATCATAAAGGGTAGATATGAAACATCCTTCCAAGTTTATTGAATCATTATAGTTATCAACTCAATTTTTTTTTTTGTGAACTTGTTGTCTTTTAATTATGGAAAAAATGTTTGTGATTTTAAATGATACAACTTTGTGTTATTTTAGAGGAAACGACGTCGTTTTGATGCATTTTTACCTTCTTTCTCCTCTATTTTCTCTCTTTTTCTAATTTTAAAAAGAAGAGAGAACATAAAAAATCACCAAATATACATTAAAACAACATCGTTTTATCTAAAACGATACAAAGTTATGTCATTTAAAATTATAAACATTTTTTCCTTTAATTATTAGTATAAATTTTCCTATAACAAGTAACAAATGTTAGCCAAAATCATAACAAATTTGGCATTGAAATCCATAGTATAACGCAGGTTGGGATATAAGAATGCTGAGAAGGGTGTAAGACAAACCTTGGGAATTGTGTAAATGAGTCAAATTCTATGATTGGAATCCCAAATTTGGGATGTAAGGACCCTAGGAAGAGTGTAACTGTGTAAGTGGAACCCTAGGAAGGATGTAAATAAGCCGAATCTAGGATGTAAAAATCCTTAAAAGGATGTAAATGGGCTGAATCTGTGATGGAAATTTTGAGAAATGGGATGTAAAGACCCCATGAAAGGTGTAAGTGGGATTCTGGAAAGGGTGTAAATGGATCATATCAGGAATGAAAATTCAAAATCCGAAATGTAAGGATAGTATAAAAGATGAAAATTTAACCCTCAAAGCATGTAAATGAGCTAGATCCAAGATGAAAATCCCAATTACATAATAACATTAGGATCTGACCCATTTAAGCTAATCATTAAATTGATACATCACAATTAAGGGTGTAAATAGATTGGGTCGGGCTAGGCTTTGGCTTAAATAGGACAGACATGTATAAAATAGTTTAAGCCTGGCCTGATCTATTAACCTTGTATAGGCTCAAATTATAAGTCTGGTTTGGCCTATATTAAAAAAAAAAGTCTTAGCCTAAGCCTATTAGCCTGTTTAAGCCTATTAGGCATTCAATAATTAAAATCATATTACTTTATTATTAAAATAATTAAAATAATTTTATTTATTTTATTTAAAATAAATAATATAATATAAGTCGACCTGTAGCCTTGTAGGCCCGACATCTAAAAGAAAGCCTATGAACTGCTTTCTAAATAAGTTTTTTCTGAAGCCTTAACTTATTCTATTTGACTATATATAATAGGCCGAGTCTAGCCTGATGTAGGCCGAGTCCTAAGCCCTTGTTAGGTCGGCTGACCCATTTATACCAATGTAGAAGAGTTGCATATTTGCCATCAAAGATTTTAGAATTGAACTAATCATTAAACTAATAAAGAGAGAGGTTTAAAGTTTTAATGTTCAACTAGGACTTTATACATACATGTGTTTATTATTATTATTATTGTTATTATATAATACAAATAAATTACAAAATATAATCAAATATAATATCCATACGCTAAGTATATAAATAAAACAATATATATATATAATATAATTAAATTGATATATCACATAAATAAGTATTAAACTAAAATATTAATTAATACTAGTATATTTTTTAACATATACTAATTACACATAAAATATGTAAAAAGATTAGATAAAATTTCTTATTCTATATTAATCCCACGATAAATAAGTAAAAAAGAGAGGAAGAAATCTTCAACAGTAGCTCAACTGGCAACTGAGTGCCCAACGGTTCAAACCTTAGCCAAAACAAATTTTTAGAATTCTTTGGGGGTCAGAGGGAGATCGTCTCCCCCTCAAAGGAGGATTAGTCTCACCCTTCCTCCGGTGACAGTGGTCCAATGCACCCTTTGTTCCAATAAGAAGCTAACCTTAGGGGACTTACTTCGAGAATAAGGTGGCTGGAGGAGGTTGTGTGGAGATACCTCTAGGTTATCTACCAAAAAAGAGAGAGGAAGAAATGAAGTTTCTCATTATAAATAGTAATCAAACTCTAATTACATTACAAACTCTTATTTGTCTCACATTTGAAAAATTAAGAAAACAAGTTTTCAGTTTAATTTAGTATATGATAAACCCATAGTATATCATGTCTTAAGGACTAAAATCACATTATTATCTAATCAAAAGTATGAGAACTAAATGTTATTTGGCTAAAAAACAAGAAAATTTGAGTTATTGACTAATGTGAACGATCCTTACTTGTTTTGTAGGTAAAATGAGATAAATTGAGGCAAGAATGAACTTAAAGGATTTGGAGAATGAAAAGGATGATCAAAAGAGTCACTAAGCGCGTAAAGAAACATCTCAATTCTTGTATGAAGGCGCTTTAGCATGTTCTAGTGCGCTAACACGCGATATCATGCATATTCTGCCTGTGCTAGAGCGTGCTAAAGCGAGCTCCAGGGTACTTTAACGCTCTCATCAGGGTTCAACATTATAATTTTAGTGCGTTAAAGCGCGCTCAAGGGCGCTTTAGCTCTCGTTTGCGACCCAACTAAGGCCCATTACATGGATTTGACCTAGGGCAAGGATTCTTACACCTTTTTAAACGAAATTTTAGAGAAAACCCAAAACACTTGGCAATTGAGACCTAGTTTTGATCATAGAAGCGTGTTTTTCATGGTTTTGACGGTTGGAGACGAGTCAGAATCGAGATTACACTGGAAACCTTGAAGATCCACTGCCATCACACCAATGGAGTTTGGGGAAGCTATCTTTTTTTCTTGTTTCTTGACTCCATAATGTTAGGCTATATTTTCTTTGTAGTTAGGGATAGATGGAACCCAATCAAACCTTTATATTTTTACTAAAAAAACATGAATTAAGGATGGATTTTAGAGACGGAAAATATCCTGTCTCTAAATGGGATGTTGGTACATGAATCATGCATGATAGATTCATCGTAATTCTTATGATTCTAGGGATAGACATAGGGATCATGCGATCTTTATTATTCTTAAACTTAATGCTTGTTTTCTTGAGAAATAACTGGGAAACTAGGGTTCTTTCAAGATAATAAAGAATTAGGATGTCAAGAGATTGAATTCTAATTAATTTAGGAGAATCGATCGGCGATATGAAAAAAATATTTAATTAAGGATTTTAATTCATAACATAAAAGGGAGATTGAAAGAAATCGAAATCGTAACTGCGTTTTTTGATTGTCAAGTAACTCAAATTTTATCTTTGGTTTTGTTATTTAGTTTAGTTTTCATAAAATCTGTTTGATCAATTGTCCAACTTAAGCATTAATAATGAATT